CTAGCCATAATGCTGGCCAATTTAGTCGGTATTATGTTCTTTCGATAATCCGTTGTTCGGGATTTTGACCCAAAATCCTTATTTACGTTAATGTTTTAGATTTTTTTTTTTTAATTAAAAAACTAAATCGATGTTTTTGATTTTGCTCAAAAGATCGGATTACATAATTAGTAAACAGTTCTATTCTTTCTGTATAAATAGTAAAAGCTGTATAAAGCATAGTACAGTCGAGGATATTTCTAGATCGATTCTAGAATAATCTCTAAATTTTCATTGGCTTATAGTCACACTTTTTGGCTAAAAGTTTGTGACATTTCACGATTTTTAACTAAAACTCTATAGAACGCAAGGCTTTATAATCAATGAAAATCAACGTTTCTCAAAAAAGTAAATGAGAACTAAAAAAAAGTAAGTTTTGCTAATATACTTATTGGTTGGTTGAAGTTCTACGCTTTTTTTACAGTCTTACTTTTTTAAGTGAAAAGGTTGCTTATACTCGGGTCTAATTTTGTAGAAAACTTTTATAAATTGCACGCTCTTGGGACAAAACTTTAACAGCATGCACTTGGAAATCAATAAGAGAAAGTGTACTTATAGGGAGCATGTATATACTGTATTTGGGCCAGAACTTGGGCGTGCATTTAGAGAGGGTGGCACTTATGGTAGCTTTACTGTACGTAGGTTTTTTTATTTTTTATTTTTTATGATATTTTAATTTTATTTTTAAATTATATATCTGTAAATATCCACGGATCACATAATTATGGGCCCGTAAGTACTGTCTTTTAAACTATTTTCATTATACTTTTTAGTTATCGTATCAACTTATCTAAATTACTTGAAATATATTTAACAGATATAATTATACCTCCACAAATGTCTTTCTTGATGAGTTTACTGAACGATTTAGCTAAAATTTAGCATTGATCGAATATTAAAGAGATTGCTCAAGCATATTCTCTCGCTTGTTATTTTTTTTATAATTTGAATCTTCTGTAAGGCCGTTGTCATATCAAAAAAACTATTATACTGTTCTTCGTATTTTAAACTCTTAGAGCAGGTAAGAAAAAAAATTAATACGCAGAGTAAACACACTATATTCTAATTAAATCATTATTTTTTTATTTATCATATATTTTATTATTTAGAATACTGGAATATATTTGAATATAACCATTAATATAACGATTATGTAGCCAAATATGTTGTTAGTAATAAGTTACTTGTAAAATTGTTAAGAGGATGAGTCGAAAAAAAGGTTTTATGAATTAAAATTTATAATATAAAAGCTTTGGTACTGAAGTTTAGATAATCGCTTTTTTTTTTTTTGGAATAATCGATTGAAAAATAGCTTAAACATCAATCGTTATCCTGTATCGATTGATTTCAATCACTATTAATTATATTGAGGAAGTTTGGCCTTAGTTACTTGGGTAAGATCTTAGTTTTTTTAAAAAAAACTTGTAATGACTTTTGTTGGTTAACTCCGTGCATCTTAAGGTTGCTAAAATTTTATAAATAAAAATTAATTAGCATTGAATAAACTATATTATAATAATTTAAATATTTGTAATCTTATTTTTAGTCGCTGATCTTTTTTAGCGATGCGACACGATCTCTAGCCTATATAATTAATGAAACAATAATACTCATACTAATCATACGTGTTACCTAACTTAACGTCACAGTAATCTAATAGTTTAGCTCCACAATATTCAGAATATGTAAATTAAAAGCATTAGTAAAGCTTATTGCTATTATAATAGCACGTCAAATGGTAAAGCTCTTTAACTCTTACATGTAACGTTTCAATCTTCTTTTTGTTAACTGTTTTTAGTATTTAAACTTTACATGTAATTAATATAATCAGAACTAGCAATTAATAGTAAAAATATTCTCTTGTAAATAAAAGTCTTACCGTTAGAATCATCTGATCGACAATTTTATACTACAAATGGTGTGATCGACACCACCCAAATTTGGGGGTCGTCTAAAGCCATGTACCCACGTGACTTTTTTGTAAAAATCAACCAACCGGGATCGCGAAATTTTGTTTACACGGATCAGCCCGAAGAAGTTAAAAAATAAAGAAAATGCAAAAATATGAAAAACGACAGTCTAAACCTGTCTTGAAGCATTAACAAAAAATGCCGGGAAGACGATTTTACCTATAAACTACTCTGCCCCTAACCCCACCCTTTCTAATTTTAATCAAAACTTCGAAAAATTACGTGGGTACATGGCTTTAGCCATCCCCCTAAAAATGCTACTCTATTAAATTAAATTAGATTACACTCTATTTATTCTTATGTAATAGAATTGTAATTATTCTATGCTGATTCCATTATAAAATCTATTAATACAATTTTATACATTTACTTCATTTATTGGTTTGAATTCGAATATAATTCCTCTAATGATATTTGAAATAGATTCTCTTGATTCATAAAGCTAAATGAATATAGAAATTTGATATAATAAATAATTAATGTTATAGAGAAAATTCGCAATACAGTATAACAAAATTATGAACTTACAGGATAAATTGATATAGCACAAGTACTAATAATAGCCCACAAAATTGCAAGCACAACCCAAAATACAAAAAATCCATCTGAAAACACATATCTTGAAGTAATCATAATTAGCGGAATAATGATCACTAATATAATTGTTAAAATGACACTGCTCCAAATAGCACATTTAAAAGCTTTCTTAAGTCCTAGAGAGTTTTTATCTAATGGGTCTTGATAAGTTTCGTGTCTGATGTAAACATCATCGTTAGCCATGATCTCTAATACCCGTCTAACCTTTCCAAGTTCATGACTCGGTGAAGATAATAGAGACCAGATAATTGCGACTATACCTGAAACCGTTATTGACGCTCTGTAGACAAAAAAATTTTTATGATTCTTTTAGATGACAAAAATTTGGAGATAAAGCTATAAAAACCATTATAGACACTTACAGATTTCCATATAACATAGGATAATCACTACCAGTAGAGTTAATGGAGATTTCATTAAATAAATATTTAGCAACACCTAACCAAACAGATATCCCTGCCACAAGTCCTAACATTGTAGCAACAATAATGCCATAGAAATTCTTTTTATCACATGTTAAAGTGATAAAAATTGGAATGACAGCCGGAGATGTAATAATGCCCATAAATAAATACATATAACCTAAATCGACACCGATACAATGTAACGTTGAAGAAATTACACTCAATGCAATACCAGATACAATATAAGAATAATATGATTGAGTGTTTATTTGATCTTCGCTGGCCTTTAAAAAAATAAATATAAATATAAATAAAAATATAAACGCCAAAATTTACGTAAAAAAACTTGACAAAACAACTTACATTCTCATTAATGTAGGTGCCATATATGTCATAGGTATAAATAGAAGATATAGAGACTAGTTCTGCAGATGTAGCAGACCTATAATGAATAGCCTATCAATATTCATTATCAACTGTCATATCAGATATTTAATGTCGAATATTTATACTCACATGACTGCCATAAAAACCAATACCAATACAGCTATTGCGCCAGTCTTTCCTAAAAGTACAGCTGCGGTAATTGGAAGCACCAATCCAGCTGATAATTCCTTATCATTTAATGGATTCATTAGACCAGCTTCAACCAAAGCTATTCCAGAAATTCCCATTGCTGTAGCCAAAGTAAAAGGAATTGCAAACCAAGATAATCCACCAATTAAGTAAGCCTTCACAGTAGAAGATGCTCGAACGGCTATTGCGTGTTGCCAATAAGCATTATCAACAAAAATAGTACCAAAATTTCCAATAATACTGATAATTCCAAAATGTAACCCGGGAATTGAAGAAAGCGTGACGTACGATCCATCTTCATTACCGGACACTTTATTGTGTGATGAAGCGTTTACCAAAAGATTATACATTTTATCAGGTGAACCAATATAAGATGATGATCCATATACAACGAACAAAAAGTATAGAATTATGATCAAAATGACTGTTGAGTTTATATAACTAACAACGAATATATCTTTGACACCTCCAATGAATTTATAGATAAAAACACAAAATGGTAACAAGAAAAGAGATATGTAGAAATCTACGCCGCTAAGAACATTCAAGACAGCAGAGCCACCGATTAGCAACATAGATGTCACAATTACTAATAACATGTAAATTTAGAAATCTGATATATTACGGTGAAAATTTTCAGAATAAGGCTGCTTGAAATTACAATTTCTTTTAACGTTCCTTTTTGGTATTGGTTGGTTCACAGGCACGTGATTTATTGAACCTTGTAACGTACGTAAGGGAGGTGGAGAACGTTAAACGAAATTTTAATTTCAAGCCGCCTAGCTAAAATAAAATAAAACATTTACTATTTGTTGCCAAGCCAAAAATCAAAAACATAATATGCGCCAACTTTTCATATCGGGCGTTTATAATCTCAAGAAAAGTGTGTGCAGTAGGTGCGATTTCCTTAAGTTTTATGGCCAAAATTGCAAAAAGTAGAATCTAATTTATGACTTATATTTTAGCAAATTAATATGTCATAGAATAGATAAAGTTATAGAATTGGATCTTACCTGAATCGTGGCTCCAGCAGCATACAAATAAGGCCTTAAAAAAATAACCAAATAAATAGTGATATTATAATTTGAGCGCATCTGTTATTAGAATTAGAAAATTACCCGGATATCCCATATTTGTACGCAACAGTGGATGATTGAAGTAAAGTAGCAGCCCATGTCCAAGAAGAAACGATTGATAGTGCGATTAAACTAGGTTTCACATCACGATATACGGTCATAAATAACTTTTTTATTTGTTCACCTCCCAAATATCGACTTTGAGCTTTAGTTATAAGCGCAGCTATACATGCCAAGGATAAAGCTAACCCAAGAACTGAATTTATTCATACGAAAAAATTGGATTGAATATCTATTTTTTTCTTTTTTTTATGGTGATGAAAAAGTATGCAATTATGGGAATTACCAATTGCCCAGCCGGCATCATGAGCGAGTGCTGGATCAATCATGCTTTATTTTTGTAAAGTTAAAAATGAAGTGTTTCAGGTTACTTTGATTCTACACTTTCCTTTTTATTTTTGATCGGTAATTATGACGTAAAAACTTAGTATTAACATTGAAAGTAAATAAATAAGGAAAACATCAAAAGTAAATATTAAATATTTACACATGTGAACCTCTCGTAATACAGGGAGGGATGGGAAAGTTCACGATTGGTCATGATCGGTCATAAGCAATTGCCAAATTTTGAATTAAGTTTATCTTTATATATAAGTTATTAATTAAAGTTGTTCAGAAGTAATTTTGGTATATGATAATTTGATTGTAATAAGTAAATGTGATGAGAACTTCCTTCTGAACAACTTTAATTAATAGCTTATAAAGATAAATCAATTCAAAATTTGACGATTTGTTTATGACAGATCATATCCCTAAATACAGGGGAGTTTTGCTAAAAATTTTTTACTAAAAATAGTTTTTATTAAGATTTCCTAACTAAACTATAGGTGTAGCACTGACTGAAAAGTGACTTTCCTAAGATAGTACCCTCGCGGAGTTTACAGAATTAATGAGGTTATACCTTTTGTTTAAATTTTATTATTTATTTGCTTTCCTTATTTCGAATTTTTTTTTACTTCATAGAAGTCTTTGATATCTTGAAATTGAATAACAGATATGTCTGACGACAATATATTAATAAAAGAGTCTGATATTGAAATGCTTGAGAAAATCGGAGCCGGTGCTATGGGAGAAATACATAAGGCTAAATTTCGAGATGAAATAGCAGTGGTAAAACAAAGCAAGGTGTAATATTGAATCTAATTAATACTGTAATTTTTTTATTTTATTTTTATTTGGGTAAAAAATGAATTTATCTAAAGTTGCATAATTTTATTAATTTGACAGTATAATGACAATAAACGATTAAGAGAGGAATTTGAAATCTATTTTAGTTTACAAAATCACGATAATATTCTCAAATTATATGGCGTTGTAGCCGAGAATTATCATCTTGTTCTTGAATATGCACCAAATGGTGATCTGTCTCAATATCTTAAAGTAAATACAGTCGACTGGAGATCTAAAGCAAAAATATGTCACGGGATAGCTCGTGGTGTGATGCATTGCCATAGAAATAATGTATATCATTTCGATCTTAAACCTCAAAATATCCTTTTAGATAAAGATTTTACACCAAAATTGGCAGACTTTGGGCTTTCAAGTTCTAAAAGTCGTTTAGAACTGAATGGTGGAAAAGCTGGTGGAACTATAAATTGGGTAGCTCCTGAACGTGTTAGTTCAGATGCTAAAATGTTTGAATTTTTTGAAAAGTAAATATACAGTATTATTTGTTTTTTTAATGAATTAATTATTTATTGATAATAAACCTTGAAAACGCGTTTTTTGAATAGATACCCCAAACTTTCAGACGTGTATTCCTTTGGATTAATCCTATGGTCAGGTAAAATCAATGCACTTTATTGTATTTTGTATTTTACATTTATAAACATACGTATTCTCTTTAGTTGCTATGAATGGTGAAATGCCTTACAAAGAATTAAGTGTTGATAAAATAAGAAAACAAAAACGTGATCGGAATACGATAAAGCGTCTATTGAAAAGCCTACCAAAAGAAAGTCCACATCGTTATACGCAACTAATTTCTGATTTAACAAAGTACGATCCGGAAGAACGATGTCAACTACCCTCTGCATTATTAGAGCTGGAGCATGTAGTCAAATATTATAGTAAGTTTCCCACAATTTTAAATAATTATGTCGAAAGCCACATTCCTTGATTAATTACTTTATATAAATAGATCCTGTCGAAGGCAAAGACAAAAATAAATTACAAATTATTAATTATAGCTCAAGTACAATTAGTCATTCTTCTGGAAATGCTAATAATGTTTCGCACGAATCTAAATATGAACATCATATTGAAGATATTTTGAAGAATATCCTTGTCCAACTATACCCACAAATTTATCTACGGAACAAATTTCAACTATCATCACTGAAAATCATGTACAAGAAATTTTAGCATGGATTAATGAAGCACCACATGTTACTAACAAAGTAGATCATTTTAAATTACTTCTTCGTGGCAGTAGAGACGGTTTTGACCGTGAAACATTTCACAAATTATGTGATAACTTACCTCAAATCGTAATAATTTTGAAAGTCAATAACACTGACGAGATATTAGGAGGCTACAATCCACTTTCATGGGATAGAAATCATAAGTCAGGTTTCCTTCAAACTAAACATAGCTTTATCTTTTCATTAAATAGTGAAAATCCTGAAAAATCGATCTTGAGTCGTGTTAAAAAAGATAAAAAAGCAATAGTTAACGCAAAAGACTATGGACCAAGTTTTGGTGTAACGGACCTATCATTGAAATGGAATCATAATTTGAGTCTAAAAGATGATAATAATTACAATTGTTACTGTGAAAATTTTTCATATGAAAAACCGATTAGAACTGCTAAAGAATTTTCGATATATGACTATGAAGCATTTCAAATCATTTAATTACAGATATCACTTTTTTTATTTTTATTTATTTACCATATTTCTTCATAATATTTATTTCATTATCTCTGAATTTTGATATATCATCTAAAACATGTTTATCGTTAGCACTGTACGGGATGTTAAACAGCTCGGTTTGGTCGATTTTTGAGTCGGTTAGAGTTAGGTCGTTTAAAGTCGACTCTAAGTCTACAATATTATCATAACGAATTTAGTTCTCTGAAAATTTACATTAGTAATTAGCATTCTTGTAGTAAAATCAATATTTCACATTAAGATAGCTGTGCAACTACATTGGAACAACGAACCAATAAATAATTATTTGGAATTTTTTGTAATTCGAGAACAGCCAACAGCTAAATTGTTTTTAATGAATTTGGGTCTAAACGAATGCTACAATTCATTGTATTTTTACAATGAATGCGTTATCAAATAATGGGATATCTCGAAAACAGATATGCCGAAATCATCGAAACAGTAAAGCTAATCTTGAATTGCCTTACATGATGATAGATGATAATTTTCTTTTTGTAAATTCGATTTTGGAACTGGTGATCCGTTTCTTCATCTTTTATTAGTTTCTCACCCTTTTTAGTTTCGTCAGTTTCACCACCTTTCGTCAATTTCGTTATTATGTCATTTAAGATTTTAATTGACGAAAGACGAAACTAGATTTCGCGTTTCGTCAGCTCGAAACCTCTAGGTTTCGTCTAGCAACTATAATCCCAAACATTAATTTAAAATTATATTCATGTATGGTTAGGCCACGCAAAGTTGATTTTTCGTTTTGCATTACCCGCCGTCCCATTTTTTCAATTTTTCAAACTTTTTTTTTTAGATCCCAATTATGCCAATTGTTCGATTTTTGACATTTATTTTTTCCCGCTATTTTCATCCGGTATCATCCGACAGAGACCTTAATTTCCCGTAATTGTCCGATAGGACTGACAGGAAAAATATGACTGCCGGCCCAATTTTATGATTCCTTGTTGTGCAAATATAACCTAAAATGTGATCGTTATTCTATTTACAGTAAATTGGATTTAAAAAAAAAATATACAAAAAAAAAAAAAAAAAAATCCGTCCGTCCGTCCCTAATTTTGAAATCCAGGTAATGCAAAACGAAAAATCAACTTTGCGTGGCCTTAAACTAATGATTGGAGTTTTATATGGTATTATCCGGTAGTTACTATCGATCATGTTACCCGTATTAATACTATATCATGGCATGGGTATTTTATATTATTTGTTTGAGTTGCCAGAAAGTCGCTGCCTATAAAAAAAAAATAAATAAATAAAATAAAAGAAAATAAGCCTCGTGGTTAATAAACTAATGAAATACATTGTTTTTAAATAAAAAAATATATTATATATGAACCGTGAAATAAACGATTTAGCGGATTTAACTTTATGGATTAATATGAGTAACATGATCAATGAACACTCGTTATCAGGTAGAATATAGATAACATTGTGTTAGCATCATTTAGCGGCCATTTGATTGACTCAAATCATGCTGCTTCGCGGCATAATCTGAGCCAACAAAATGGCCTCTAAATGGCACAGACCCAATATCACCTACATTCTACTTGATAACTATTAAATACTGTATTATTTTTTTTTATTTCAAGTATAATAATTATCGATTTCTCTTGATATCTACTAATTTCTATCTGTATTGATTTCTATCAATAGCATAATAACTATCAATATAAATAGAAGTCTTGATAGAAATCGATTTCTCTCAAAGGTAAATAACAACTATCAATTTCTATCTATATTGATTTTTATCAGCAGACATGATTTGAGTGCGTGAGAATGAAAACCAGGAAATAAAATTTAACAATCATAAATTTTATTTCCTGATTTTCACTCTCACGCACTCATGGCGGTGAAATTACTCTTCTTATAAAAAGTTTTTGTTGAAATTGTTGAAATTATTTAATGGTGAAATTGGTAAAATTTATTTTTTTTTTTTTTAGCTCTTTGACAGTCTTGCTGGAGCTCAATACAATCAACTTTATTTATTTAATTAGTAATGGTAAACCATTCCTAACCTAACCAATTTTTGACTTGAAATTTCAGGCCCAACATCTTATGGCTGCAATAAAACATGCCCATTAGCAATCTGTTACACCAACTTGTATACAAGTTGGATAGACTTTGTTAGCCCATCAAAAGCTAATTCCTTCAATTCTTCTTTTTTTACCAAGAGCAAAAGAAAGTGATGATTTTATACCAACAATACAATACTACCTATTAATAAAACAAAAGAAATTTATGACTAAAAAAAAAACAAAATAAACAAAAGGAGGAATTTAAAGAAAAACAAAAGGAAAAACAAGAAATTGCAAAATGAAAAACAAAGAGAGAAGCTCGAAGGCTGACAAAGAGAGGAACTACCTCTATCAAGAAGCAGTAAACAACCTGAAGGTCAAAATAAACAGGGGTGCACTATTATAACCTGTGCAAAGTTAAAGTAAAAATTATATAACAAATGTAATAATTATATATCTCTAGTATAAAGTTATGTCTTAGTGTATATATCTTCTAACTAACAAACCAACTCTGAATACCTCTTTAACCAAGACCCAATTCAAGTTATGTAGAGTAACACTGAATCTATAAGTAAACAAGACACATGGTTGCAATCTACTAAGTTCATCAGAATTGGAATATAAACAATGCTGATCTTTTAGAGGGAGTAAACCAAATCCCCCACTTTTTATGAAAATTTTTAAAAAACTGACAAAAAGCGAAAAGAGATGTAAGAGAAACCACTTGAGCAAATAAAAAAAGTGTGGCTAAAGAAAAATATAAAACCTATTTTATTTCTGAGTTCTAAAGAAAGATCTTGTAGTTTCATTAACAGAACTTTGGTTCTACCAAAATTTACTATAGTAAAGAGTGCTGCCTGCCTTTTTCTTTTTTGTATGTATTGCTTTTGACTTGTATGTCAAATATAGGTCAGAGTTCTCTAAGCTAGATTAACTTTTTGTTTCTTAAAAACTACTACTAAAGTCTTCTTAGAACTATAGTATAAAGAGTTTTGTTGATAGAACTTTTGTTTACTAGAATCTATAGTGCATGCTGAGAGTATCATCTGCCTTTTTCTCTTGACTAGGCTTCTGGCTTGCATGCTAAATAATAGTGAGGAGTTCCCACAGCTAGTTGACCTCTTTTACTACAAACCACTACTGTAGCTATACACCTCTTCAACAGACTTTCAGAGTTTTTTTGGTTAGAAAAATTAGTTCAAATAATCATCAGAAAGAGTTTATTGAATGAATTAATAAAATTAATTTTTATATTAAAAATTATTTAAATTATTTTAAAAATAAATTGAAGCTAAGCTAAATAATCTAATATTTAATTTATAGAAATATTAAAAATATGATGATTATCAATTTCTGATTTCTATTAATAGTAAAAAACAAAATTATATGAAATTTGCAGATCAAAAAAAAAAGAAATCTAAGTTTTCTGATTCTGATTGCTAATTTATTTAACATTTTTTTGCAGAAATAAAAGTTGTAAATTCATAATTTTATAACATATTTTGATTTAGTATCTTTTGTAGAAATATAATTCACAGGATTTTGCTAACTTGTCTACCAGGTAAAATTACCTGTCATGTGATTTAATATAATATAAAAATATTAATTTTTTTTTTTTGGTATTAAGATAAGGCCTTGCTCAAGTAATTTATATAAGTAATTATATAGAAACTATATAAAAACTAAATTTGTATAATAACAAGTATTTATAAATTACATACAAGAATGAAAGCTTAGACTAAAAGCCAAAACTAATTATCTGTGATCTAAATTCACTAGAGTAGTTAAGACTTATCTAGGTTTTAATAGTTAGTATGTAGTTTGTGAAAATGCTGAATTGTATCCATGCTATCAACTATTGGCTGAATTTGCATTGTGTCTGCCCTTCAGAAGGGCAATTATTGTTATTATACTATTGGTTTAGTAAGCTATATAGGCTGTAAGTGAATTTTTGAGATCTTTTTTGTTGGCTTTGTACTTGTTTATGTATAATCTATTTAGCTTGATTAGAGGTTTGTATATTGTTCTGCTTTTTCCATTTTGTGAGTCTTTCACAATATGGCTTTCAAATTTGCTTATAGGTCTCTGTAGATATATATAGAAGTATCCAAATTATAATATCTGCTGCCTCTTTGTATTGTATACCTACTGCTTGTAATGCTTATAGCAAGTGGGATAAAATAAGTCCTTTTATAGTAGTAGATAGTGCATGTGTTTGGGATTAGAAGAAAAAATATTGTTGAAGGAAGTATAAGATTCAATAACATCAAGAAAATTAAATAAGTGCAAATTTGCAAAAATTAGTATTTTTGCAGATTTTTGAAGAAATATTGTAAAAAATCTGCAAAATTTTTTAGAATTTGAAGCTTTGCACAGAAATGCATCTAATTTCTGCATTTATAGTATCAAATTTGAAGTTTCATGCAGATTTTTATTTGATTTATTATATGATTTTTTTTACAAATCTGTGCAGAACTACAATAAAAAAATTTTCCAATGAAGGTTTATTATTGCTTTCTGCTGTATTGGAGTCTAGTTGCTAAAGTGTTTGGTGATCATTTTCGCGATTGAGAGGTGAACAATTTGGCTAATTGTTTGTGGTTGTGGTAAGTGAGCCAATGCATAGCTGAGTCTGGGGCATTGTATATGAAGCAAGTATTAGCTAAAAATATTTTAGGCATGATATTGTAGAAGTAATAGTAGATTGGCAGTTTATTGAGCAAGTTTTTGACTCTGAATAGTTTAGTTTAGGAGATGTGATATTAGATGTAGCTTTTGAATTATTATTAAAACAGAGCCAAGTTGAGCTCCAGTCAATTGTTTGAATATGACTTTTCCATTTAGCATTGCATTTTTGTAAGGACCACATTGCTATTGTGTATACTCTGCCAATATTTTTAATTAGTTGTCAGGTGGGTTTTTCTATAGATTGTCCTTTCTACTGAATAATAAAGTTAGAGTTGTGTATATTGGTATAGTTAAATTGAAGAATATGAGTTAATGGTTCTTGATACTTCTTAGCTAGAGAGCTAGCTAAGTTATTGAACAAGTTGTTTGCATGTGCCTAAACCTTATAAAAAGAGAGCTAGATATT